AATTCTTCAAACCCTCCGGGAAAGGAAATTGTATGCAAAGCTTAAGAAATGTGAATTTTGGCTATTCGAGGTGGCATTTCTGGGGCATATTATCACAAAGGAAGGAGTTTCTGTTGATCCACACAAAATTGAGGCGATTGTGAAATGGCCGACTCCTACCAATGTGACCGAAGTGCGTAGCTTTATGGGATTAGCTGGCTATTACAGGAGATTCGTTCAAGATTTTTCTAAAATTGCTGGGCCACTTACACAATTGACTCGAAAGGGAGTTGCATTTGAATGGTGAAAAGAGCGGGAATCTGCTTTCCAGGAATTAAAGATGAAATTAACCATAGCTCCAGTTTTGGCTTTACCGTCTGGCACCGAAGGGTTTGTAATTTACAGTGATGCATCCCATAAAGGATTAGGGTGTGTGCTTATGCAAGGTGGAAGGGTTATTGCCTATGCTTCACGACAGCTTAAACCCCATGAAAAGAATTATCCCACGCATGATCTTGAGCTCGCGGCTGTGGTTTTTGCTTTAAAGATATGGCGGCACTATTTGTATGGTACTACTTGTGAAGTTTACACCGACCACAAAAGCCTTAAGTACCTTTTTACCCAGAAGGAATTGAACATGCAGCAACGTCGGTGGTTAAAATTAATTAAAGACTATGATTTACAGATCCATTATCATCCCGGTAAGGCCAACACGGTTACGGATGCTCTTAGTCGGAAAAATATGGGAGATTTGGCCAACCTGTTTACGGAGCAAAAGGAATTGATAGATGAATTGGATAAAATGAGGGTGGAATTTAAGATACCTGGACAGGAAACAGTACTGGCAGCAGTAATGGCTCAACCGACTTTGCTTGAAGATATCAAGTCACATCAAATGGAGGATGATGTTATAAAGAAGGTATGTGATGAGCTGGAGACCAAACCACAATCGGGGTTCAGTTTAGTGGATTCGGTACTCAAATTTCAAAACCGAGTATGTGTCCCCAATGTGTTGGAACTTAAATGGAAATTGATGGAAGAAGCACACGCCTCAAGATTTTCCATGCATCCGGGAAGTACTAAAATGTATCGGGATTTGAAACAAAATTTCTGGTGGCCAAGCATGAAAAAGGAGATTGCAGACTTTGTCTCTAAGTGTTTGCAGTGTCAGCAAGTGAAAGCGGAGCACCAAAGACCAGCAGGATTATTACAACCCCTTCCAATCCCGGAATGGAAGTGGGAACATCTAACCATGGATTTCGTTGCGGGATTACCACGGACACCTCGGGGTATGAATTCTATATAGGTCATTGTCGACCGATTGACTAAGTCTGCCCACTTTCTGCCAGTGAAGACTCAGTACAATGCAGATAAACTGGCGGTCATATATGTCAATGAAATTGTAAGACTGCATGGTGTACCGGTCTCAATTATATCGGATAGGGATCCGAAGTTCGTTTCCAGATTCTGGCAAAGCCTACAAGAAGCCATGGGTACAAAATTAAAGTTCAGCACGGCTTTTCATCCTCAAACTGACGGTCAATCCGAGAGAACAATACAAACTCTGGAAGATATGCTCCGGATGTGTGTGCTAGAGTTTCAAGAAAGTTGGGAAACCCATTTACCACTGGTAGAGTTCGCATACAACAATAGTTACCACTCAAGTATTGCAATGGCACCCTATGAAGCTTTGTATGGAAGACCGTGTCATTCTCCAGTATGTTGGGCTGAAGTTGGAGATAAATCCTTGCTAGGGCCTGAAATTGTTTAGTTAACCACGGAAAAAGATAAAATTATTCGGGAAAGATTAAAGACGGCTCAAAGTAGACAAAAAAGTTATGCGGATAGCCAACGGAGAGATTTGGAATTTGAAGTGGGCAGTCACGTCTTTATAAAAGTTACTCCGATGAAAGGCCATCCAAGATTCGGGAAAAGAGGTAAGCTAACGCCCCGATACGTTGGTCCCTTTCAAATTTTGGAAAGGATGGGTCTGGTAGCGTACCGGGTTGCCCTTCCGCCACATATGAGCCAAGTACATAATGTGTTTCATGTCTCTATGCTTCAGGGGTATCTTGCGGATCCGTCTCATGTTATTGATTATCACCATATTGAACTAGATGATAAGTTAACTTATGAGGAAAAGCCAATCCGCATTTTGGATCGGCAAGTGAAACAATTACGCAACCGAGAAATCCCAATGGTAAAAGTGGAATGGCAGGAACATTACGGAACCGGCGCAACTTGGGAAAAAGAGGAGGAAATGCAACATCAGTATCCGCATTTGTTCCTACCCTAAGGTAAAACAAGTTTGGGGACCAAACTTATTTAAGAGAGGGAGAGTGTAATAACCCGACCCTCGTACATGTTCCTTGTTGTATTTTCGGATTCTATTTTGTGATTTTGGATGCTTACTGTGGAATCCTATGGGAAATTTAAATTAAGTAAGTAAACCATATGATTAAGGATGTCTATCTGTCCAACAAGAAAAGTATCTGTTACATGAGAATGCTTAGATCAGAAATTCGAAGCCTTAGAGGCTTAGTTATCTGAAATTGATTTCACATATATAATCAGCATAATTTTTAAGTAATATTAAGCGCTTCTGTGAAATTTCAATTTCGGATGTTTAAACGATTGACTTTTGTCTTATTAGCTCTTATATATATGTGTGTGTTCTTGGAGCCTTGGACCTAGTTCAACACATTTTCATGGAAAAGAATAGAGAGGGTAAGAATAGAGAGAGATGAGAAGGGAGTTTCACTAAAGGCTAGAGATTGAACAACTTAGAGAGACTTTGGGAGCTCTCAACTCAAGGTAAGTTTGTCTAACTTTTATAATTCCTCTCTTGAATTTGAGGGTGATACAATCATGATAATTGAACCCAAGGTGTAATTGGATCATGTTTAATCCATTGGGAGAGTTTGAACTAAGTTGCTTATGTATGTATGTGGAGAAATTAGCTTTGATTTCTTACTTTCTCATGAAAGATCATGAAGAACTTACCTTATATATATATGTGATGGTATATATGATGTTGATGAAAAAGGAAATTTGATTATAGTTATGGATTCAAGAATTAGTGTTTGCCTAGTTTAATGTATGTATTTGAAGCCTTTGTAACATGAATTTTAGGCTATGTATTGTCAACTAAAAATGTTAAAATGAGCCTTGTGAGGATGTACCAAAAGATTGGGATTTTGTAAGAATTTCGGACAATTTTAAGCAGAATCGCCGCACGTGCGGGGGTCATGGCCGCACGTGCGGGAGGTGCTGCCGCACGTGCGGAGTCATGGCCGCACGTGCGGGAAATGGTGAAAAAACAGGGGCTCGGCTACTGTCTAAAAGGCACGTGCGGGCCATTTTGCCGCACGTGCGGGAGAGCTTGCCGCATGTGCGGGGCTCATAGCCGCACGTGCGGCCCATGCTGAAAAACATGAATCGCTCTGTTTTGCGTGTAGAACCCTCTAATGTTGACGGAATATGTCTTTGATGCCTTTTAATATGTATAAATTCCTTCGAAGTAAAACGAAACAGAAAGTGATTTGATATGAAAAGGAAACTAAATTGTAAAGGTTGAATGTGTGCAGGGCACACTCCGGGAGGAACAAGCACATCATCGCAACACTGTGAGTAGTAACATTATTATCTGCTTTACATAGGGCTAATTCTTTTCATTAGCATTTCATTTACGCAACTATGTTAATGTTTCAAGTATGCATATTAATGTTCAAGTATGTTCCAAGTATGTAAGAAAGAAATGGGAAAGATAAGGCCATCCAATATAAGTTATTATGATACGAAACAAAGTGCTACACGGAACTAAGTGCTACGATGTGAGCTACCTCTAGAATCCGTGTGAGACACCTCTTGAGTTCGTATAAGTATATTCACGGGCTTAGTGCCAAATTACTTAAGGGCCTTGTGCCACCATGTTTAAGGGCCTTGTGCCACCATGTTTAAGGGCATCATGCCACCATGTTCAAGGGCATTATGCCACCATGTTCAAGGGCTTCAAGCCACTATGATTTAAGAATGTGATATGTCAAGCTGTTATGTTCAAGATTGGGGCCTAAGGCCATTATGAAATGAATACAGAATCAAGCTAACTTTGTGATCTCTGCTTTTCCATATGTATTGATATATGTCATGTTTTAAGTTGAGCATTGTTTCATTCATGTATTACTATTCACTAAGCCCGGCTCACTATCTGTTATGTTTGTTTCTGTAGGCAACCAACCAGGTGGTCAATCCTAACCCACGACGCCCGGTTTCTTTTGTCAACCTTCGCGTAGCCAGGCACTTTCGAGGCCACTTATTTGTGAAGTTTATTAAGATAATTAGCTTACTTCTTGGCCATCCTTCCAAGGTTAAATGCGAATGACTTCAACAGTTGTTTTGTTACATGCCCGACTATAGGGCTGGGTCTATATATGTGTTTATATATATATACTGCTAAGGAATATTTTTGGACTCTATCAACCTTTTATGGTGCATGTAATGTATGAGATCTTGGCATGCTAGAAATAGCTCAATGGAGTTGTTGTTTTGGTATTCTTCTAATATTTTGTGCTTCCGTCAAGGCCTCATATGCTATATATACCAGGTTATATGTCTGTGTTTGAATGGGTCATGCCCGAACTTTTAGGGGCGAGTTTGGGGTGTGACATAAAGTGTTACTCTTAATGGTTTCATTAATGAGAATAAAAGTTGCAAGCGTGGTTGTAAGTATTGCCGATATGATATGGTTGGTTGCGTCACACGTTATTCCACATAATTTTTTAGAAATATCTGTTCTGACAATCAGTGGAGAATTGCATTGCTTGTTGTAGAATGGATGTGAAGTTAGGTGAATTGAAACCCTGTGTTGTGTAGTTTTGATTGATTAATTAAGTGTGTGGAATTGTTGTGGTTTATAATTGTGTGATGTAATGAAAGTGTTATATTGAGGTTCTAAGTTCTTTTTTGTTAGCACCTAGTAAAGTGGTTTGCACTTCGAATGAGAGGTACTAATTTCCTTCCAACTAGAGCCTAGTATAGTGGGGTGTGCTTCTAATGAGAGGTTCCAATTTCTTTCCAGCTAGCGCCTGATAAAGTGGCTGCGTTTCGAATGATGGATTCTAAATTCCCTCCAGCTAGCACCTCATAAAGTGATTACGCTTCGAATGATGGGTTTTAAATTCCATCCAGCTAACGCCTGGTACTGTGGATGATTGTGGCTTGACGAAGCCGAGTTTTCTTATATGATGTTATTATTTAGTTTAATTTCGTATATGTGTTGTGATATAAGGGATGCAGCATTCTCCTTCCATGCCAATGGCAAATAAAATATGGGAGTACGTGTTATTACTACCGTCATTTACATTTGGAGTTATACTGTGATGTATGCTTCGTTTGCCCTTGCACCTTTGGCCATAAAATATGATAGATGTCCTTGAGAGCATTATGAGTTGGAGTATATGGTGATGATCCTAGTGAGATTTTTAATGTCTTAGTTTATTGAGAGTTACCTATAAGTCACATGGTTACACTATCTCTAACTTGTCGTATAACGATCAAGTTATTTTGTTGGTTCATCTTATTGAATTTGAGAATATTTTGGATATGGTTTTCAAATGTCGAAAGTGATAAATTTCTTAAAAACTACATTGAACAAATGGAAAGTTGAGGGTTTTGATTGCTCCCTTAGATGATAAATAACAACATTTTGAGAAAAGAGTACCTCTCTTTATGTATATTTTGAATATCAATAAGTGAACACTATTGTTATATGTATTATGTGGAGCATTCACGATCATATACATATAATAATTAGAATTATTAGGTTCTCTACTGGACTATATGTTCATTGTAACGCCTCAAAAATATCAACACTAGATAATCCGAATTAACTCATTGAATCTATCTGATATCTGATTAATTACCTCTTTAACACGTGAAATAAATATATAACAACCACATCCCACGAGCCCAACATATTCAAACCCAGTAAGCTCTGATACTAAGTTGTAATGCCTTGAAAATAACAATAATCCATATGCATCATAGTTGCCAAACATACAAGTGAAAGTTTACCAATCTCAATCATTTAATATCGAAAACATTTTCGGAACCATCATTCATTCATTGATTTCCTTAAAATATTACAACATGACGTCACATGGATTAATACATTTATCAATCCTAGATTATGAATCTATAGCATGTGACATATATATATTGAAACAAAAGAAAATAAAGATAAGTTCATGCACTAATAGCTACAAATTTTCAAGCCATCACCTGGTTATAACAAAAGTGGGTTGAAGCCCAATACAGGTAAAGCCCTGGATTTGCACAAAATTAATTTACAAAACAAAGATGAGTGTCCAGCTCAACTGTCTTCCCAAGCTATCCCCTTGGCGGAGGTATATCATCAGTACTTGAAAGTTATTTTCCAAATAGGGTGAGCTAAAGCCTCGCAGAGATAGATTTAATGATCTGTATGATGCTTAACAAAGTCATATGGTGAATGCAAACGAATGTCATTACCAAAACATGCATTTTTCCTTTTGAAACAATGCTATACCAAGTTCAAAATCACAATAGATAAACCGTTGCTTTAGAATAGAAAACAAGGCAGTAAATACACACATTGGGAATCTCTAAGTACATGTCTGCAAGTAGGCTACAAAAGTACTACCAAAAGTTATTTTACCGGTACTAACCGAAAGGATCGGCACCTAACCGCACAAGTTTCTGGACTTTTACTAAGGACACAAAGACCAACATAAAGAACCACAACCACACCCCCTAACCAGATTTACTAAGATATTCACCTGTTTTTCTCCAAACAAATGTTTTTCTGTGCATAAGTATAAAACCAATGTTCAAATGGAATGCATGAGTGAATGGATTTTTGTTAACTTAGTTCTCATGCAATTGCTACAACAATCAATGTTATTCTCCACTGATAACCAAAACAGATTTCTCTATTCAATATATGTAAAGCTTTCAAGAGACATATATCATTCATAATCTCAAAACTTCAACACAGGAATAACAATAACATGCTCAAACTCCCCTTTTTCCCAATTCCAACAAGAATCGTTACTTTGTTTCAAAATCTTATCAACTTTTTCCTGTTTGTTCAAAATCAAGATTCACAAGAATTTTCCATTTTTGGCAAAATAACTTATGTTTCTCATTTTACAAGCAATTTCCCTCAAATTTCAATATCATCCATCATCTTTCACAACCTAAGAACATTTTAAAGAAAATCATTCCAAAACCCCTCTTTTATAAATCAATTCAAATCCA